CGACGCTCTTCCGATCTCCCCAAAACCCCAAAACCCCTGCAATAAATGATAGAAACATTAAAAAACAGCTAAAATTAAATATTATAAAATCTATCTGATAATAATGAGAATAATAGTTTTAAGTCTCTCAAAATCTATATGCAAAAGCAAGTTACTTTTGTATATTATTTGATCTGAGTTATAAGACTGTAATCTTCAATATAACAGTACTGATCACTGAATATATTTTTGAAGAATTTAAGTTAATGAGCTCTTTACGAATTCCATATCATCCTGAATTCTTAGTATATTGTCATTAAGACTCACAACTTAAGAATTAAGTCCTTTCACTTGCACATCAAGTCCATCGACTTTACTATCAAGCTATGTTTTTAAGAGCTAGAAATCATTTTTAGAGTTTTGTTCATATGTTTCATTATTTTTCTCAATTTTGTCAAGCTTTTTACTATTTTTTTCATTCAAATTTGTAAGAGACTAAAAATTCTGGATAATCTCTGTTTTAGATTTTCCAGCTGTAGTTCTTATAGTATACTTTAGTTTGCTGCCTCACAATATCATATTTATTTTTGCTAATTCCATGATTTCAGCAATAAATTAGTAATGGTTAATGGAAGCTCTCACCGAATTTACTGATCCTTTGTTGAAACTATAAAATCTATTCACCATCTCTATATAAATACTGCACTTTGCTCCTTATGAAGCAAACCTCAATAGCTACAAGGGAATTTCACATTTCACTAGAGACTATACTTGAGATCTTTAATGAATCCCTACCATTCCCCACCTTCATTACTCTCTGTATTAAGAGGTCTTCTCACAACTATATAGTTTGGAAAGTAATCTTTGCATGTCAAATCAGAATCTTTGAATAGTTATTCTCTCTCAACAATCATATTAGCTTTAACTCTGTACGATTCTGCCACCAATTTCTGCATTACTCTTTCGTAGGACTCCGAGATAACAGCGATGATGAAGTTCATGAACACGATATTCAAAGCCATGACAGCTATTAACCATATCATCCATGTAAAAAGGACTAGCCCATCATTTTAGCTATGATAATCATCGAGTTAGAAGTCGCCAGATGATATTCTGAAGGCCATTAAAAAGTATGCCAATTTATTAACACCATTGTATTCTTCGATTCCCTATGCTTTGAAGAGGACCAAGAATATCATTCCAAATTGCAGGATGAAAATTAAGAAGAAAATCAAGAAATATTTGAGGTCTTTGAAGACGCCAGCCATCATTTAAACGAGGAAACTAAATCCATCATAAATTCTCAAGAAGAACAATAATTTCATAAAGGATAGTACGATCACCATAATTTTTACCAAGATTAGAATATCCTGGTCCACATCTATGAAGTCTAAAATGCAATATATTGTGAATGAAACAATGTGTAAAAAGTCAAAGTAATTCCATCCATCTTTAAAATAATCCTTTCCTTAAACTTTCACCTGCTTAATCTCATAAACTAAGAAGTAAATTAGTATCCCACTGCATATTATTTTATTTGAAATCTTAATCCATATATTGGGTCTTAAAATTTCTGTATTTGATTATCCAACTACATCGTCTTTTTCATCACAATTGCTTTATGTAGCGTAAGTTGAATAGAAGATATCGAAAATAAAAGATGTCATAAATATCAAATAAATGTAGAACCCAAACTCATAAAATCTTTTAGTATATTCATTCCATTTAAAGTTTATGATAGTCTGGATGACTTTATTTTCGAAGTATTCAGGTCTCTCTGTTTCACTTAATACTTTCATTAGTTATTTGGGATTATTTTGTAATGTTACAGGCAAGATGATCAAATGATATTCAATAGATACAATTGAACCATCAGCTGTTTTTTAATCTTTCAATTTGCTACCAATTAATTCTTCGTACATTTCATGGATATCTTTGGGATGATCTAAAGTTATACCCTCTATCAACTCCTTTTCATCGTGATGCTAACTTGGATAAGATTAGTCAAGTATTTCATAATTAGGTAGATTGCTGTCAAAATATTCTTGTAAGTCTATTTATTGTTTGATAAGTTCGCACAGATGCTTATCTACCAACTAGTTAAACATTATGTGATCTTAGTATTTTAATATCACTTATAGAATTAGATTGATTATCTTTTGCTGATTATTTTTTACTGCGAAATCAAATGGTGATTCTCCTTCTAAATGATTCTAGCTAATTAGGATAGGTAATGACTACTTATCCCTCAATGATAACTATTTAACAATTGAGTCTAGAACAATTAAGTTATTTTAGAATAGGTTAAAAACTGATCCTTAGCCAGCTACAAATTTTAAGTATTTGTCAAGATTTGCTTATAGTTCTTTTATTATTTATTCATTAGTCAAACTTGCTAGTGTTTTATAATCTTTTATTAGTTGATCAGTGATGTCTAATTAAAAATAACCCAGAATTTTTTATTCACCTTTTATATAGATTTAAACTTAACTTGAATCAATTACTGCTTTGTTAGTATATCCAAAATAAAATGCTGGAAAAACAGGTTATGATAGTAGTTCCGTGCTAAAAATTTATTCAAATGAGCGTAATGTCATAGCATAGATTTCCGAATCTTAATCATTCTTATTTTTTTTAAACATATAGTAAGAATCCTGATTTATAGTCTACTAATGTGATGCAAATATTTATAAATCATTGAATGATTCCATAAACCTTATTTGAATAATTTTGTCGAGTCTTTTATTCTTAAAGAATGAAATATTTGAACCCTAATTAGAATAAGTTTGTAGATAGTTTTTGCCTATGAAAGTAGATATATATTCTATTTCACCAGATATTTCTTTAATTGTTGATTTAGTTTAGAGACTTATTATCATTACATCTTTGAGTGATTAGATAAAGAGATAACCTTGTTCATCATTTAAAACTACCTCTTTTGGATAATATACTGATTTAAATATGTCATTATCTCTCAATACTATTTATTTAAAGACTGATGTTTATTTATCGAAATAAACGAAGTATTGATTCGTAGATATATCAAAGATGTATTATTTTTCAAGGAGACAATTTTTCATTATGCAAAAAATGTCTTTGTAATCAAACTTAAATCCAGATCTTTCCCTGAAATCTATCCATTTAACCTTACGATTATCATTAAGGTAAATCCAAGTGCGATCTGTTTTTATTAGAATATCAGCAGGATCAATTTCACTGACGATTTCATAATCATCTGCTTTGTACTTTTATTATATTATCTCATGGAAGTTTTGATCACTCAAAATGTTCTCTTAATTTAAAAGAAAGTTTTCAAGATTTTCTTAATACTGTATTGAAACTTCTTTCTAAATACCTGTGTTAAGGTCTAAGACTACAATCATTTTAGCTATTTTTGACTTAAAAATAATGAAATTGCCTTTTTTAGTTTTAAATTCTCTATAATAAATGTGCTTTCCTTGAATTAAAAATGAGTGGAGATCATAAATTTACCTGACATTTGTACTAAATTTGAAAGATTTAATTTAATCCAAGGGATCGAAATCTCTATAATAAAATTTATTGTTTATCGTGTCAATTCCATAAAATTTTAAATCTTGTTTTGTCAAAATTTTAGTGTTATAATCAATTAATTAAAAGGTCTAAGAATCGAATACAAAAAGATTATAGTTTATTGAATTATATCCATCAAAGATTATAAATTTATTTGATGTAGCCACAATTTACTTAATGTTTTCAACTCTTAAATTATGGAGCTAATGCAATTTCTTTAAGGTTATGCCATCAACATTATTATAATCATAAATGTTAAAATCTTAGTCTAGAATATAGTCATACTAGTCTTTGTACTTAATAGAGTAATAGATTTTGTCAGATTTTTTTACAATTTCAAGCGAATTTTTTTCCACAAAAATAGTTTATTTATTTTAAGTTGTTTAAAAGAGGTAGTAATTTTTTAGTTAGTAACTATTCTTACTATAAATATCATTTCTAAACTAATAGACACTTTGATTTGGATCCTTAACAAAGAGTTGATTTTTATTGTTACCTATCTAATCCTTATAATTAGATTCAGATAAAAGTTTTATTTCAAACATTAATTTCATGTCTTTTGCTATATTATCTAATGGTATGTCATCAAGTTTGAATAAAAGTGTAGTAGAATCATAAAAAATCATGATATTGAATTCATCTATGATTTATACATTCCAGAAATGCAAAAACATGTTAAAATCAAATTAAATCAAATGATTATCAATGATAGTATCAAGAAAATCATCAAGTCTTGTTAAGTAAACAGAAGATCCTCCTTGATAAAAAATGTAATCGATGTCATTGAGTTGACAGTAAAATAGTTTGCTAAATGTACTACAAAATTATAGCTCAATAATTTTAATAGGCTATAAGGAATGTAAATCAAGGAAAGCAATAGTTCTATGATCACCATAACCATATTCAGCTAATAGAAAGTTTCTATGAGGTATTAGTATAAGTTGCTAGGAGATAGAAACTGTTTTCCCATCTATTTCAAATTTAAATGGAAAATTTTGAATTCTATTCTCCAACTTAGAATAATCTATTTCCTTGTGATTATCTAAAATCCATTGATATTCTTAAGGTAGAAGACTATTGATGTTTGTTTAATACTCTTAGGATTTGCTTTAAATTTCACTTTGAAGCAATGGCTCTGAAATATCTGACTATCTCTTCGAAAGCATATCTTTTGAAGTTTAATAATTTTTATATTACCTAGGGAATAATTGTTTTAAATGTTCGACTTATATATCTGATCAGATTAAATACTTCAAAGCGCATCAATGATAAATTATCTATTTAATAAATGAATTTTAATTAATTTATGTTCTTCCAAAATATTTGATTCATGGGGTTTTGGGGTTTTGGGG